TTCAGCGTCAAGGTCACGCACTGCCAGTTGGCTGTCTTTGTCTCCTGCTCATGTCTCGCTATACATCTGCCATACCCGGCTATCCCAACCTCATATCCCTAAGTTCCTAGTGTGCAGTGAAAACAAGAAAAAAAAAGAAAAGAAAAATAGCTCCAATAGGAGCTCCCTGATCATTATTTCAAAAATAGTGAGGCTTTATTCATGCGTGCTGATCATTGGAAGCAAACAAAGGAGGCCTAGACTAGGCAGTTAGTCTCAGAAGGGGATAAAAAACCATTAGAGCAAAGAAACACAACAATACTAAAATATCGTTGTGGAAGAACTGGAAGGATTTCAGGGAAGTTTGCTTTCATCGGGGCTTTGCTCATTCTGTCTCTGCTGAAGGAAAATGTTATATTTATAATGTCCTCCTCCCCACAAGAAGAAAAGAAAACACAGAAATCATGCAAAATTAGATGGCTTAAATTCCTTAAAGTGTAAATGAAGAGAATAATTTAAAGGTATTACACATCGTTGACATTGCCAGAGGTTCCCAGGTCCACGTGTGAACACCTAGAAAGCACTTTTTTTTTTTGAAAACGTTTCATTAAAATCCCAACTGACAAATCCTCCTGAGCCATCATCACCCACTCCCCTCGCCAACCAAAGGCGCTAACCCTCTAATAGGACGTTGTTGACTTTGCACGCTCGGGGGAGCATCATATATTAATATGCTCTGGACGGCGGCATCTCAGAATCAGAACAGGAGGCTTTGTTTGCACGTCGATATGAGCTGCGCTAGATTTAATCAACAGGATAAACAATGAAAAAAGAACAATATTCCATATATTACTCCTTCATCTTAAAAAACCTCTCCTCAGAATGAAATTATTCAGATTAGGCTTCACGGCACTCGCACACTAATACCAACGTGACTTTCACTGTCGATGGCATGTTGTTAAAAAGTTTGAGACACCCTCCAAACATAAAGCGGGCCATTTTGCAGTAAAGTCCTGAGGATTGTCGTTAGGACTGAAATGTCGCTCTATATAAATGACTCCCCGAGTGTCGCGCACACATGTTCTTTTAAACTCACCAGGGTCACTATAGAGGTTTTGTAATGCCCCGTCATTGTTCATTTCACCTTCCGTTGCAGCATTGAGTTGTTTTTTAAAAATTTCTTTTCATTGACAAAAATTCCGTTGAGATGGCTGAAGGAGTGTCGACCTCGCTCCTCTCTGCTTCACAGCTCGATGCGGTGAGCCGGAGGACAAAACAACATTTTGAGAATCACAAAAAAATAGCAAAATATTATATATAAAAGCTCATGAAGGATTTGAAGGCACAGTTATCTTGCAAGTAATAGAAATGGAATGAAAAGAGTTTGAGAAATATGTTGCCGTCCATGCTCCTGTATTTAATGCTGAACCATATAAAATCAGTGTTATGGTCATAAATATCACCATGTTGATTTATGTGGGGATGTTAGCAGACCTGCAGTACCACGAAGAGATGCTCTGTAATAAAATGTTACCAACATACTGCAGCACCACAGCCTGGTCTTTTCCAGGTCTTTGCCTGCTTCAATGTAAGGAGTCACAGATATGGCACCTCACCACTTCAGTGCTTTCCACAGTATAGCGGTGCTGGGAAAGGCTCACTCTAGCCTCCGGTGACTGTTTGTCATTGTGCTGCTCAGGAGAACAGCATTTAAGACTCTGAAGAAATGGTCTGCTTTCTATAGCAGACTTTTATATCTTGTAGCATTTACAGCTTGCCAGTAACTGTAAGGCACAATTTGCCGTTGTCTACCACATGCTGTAACAGAAAGAACAGAGACACAGTTTAGTACAGTTTAGTAAAATAAACACTTTAATGTGTATTTTGGGTCTTTTCTTTCCACTTGTCTGGAAGAAAAAACTCACACTATTAAAACTGCCCAGTGCGTGAAAGACGATGTTTTTGTCTCCCCTTAAGACCCAACAATAATGAACAAACAAACCCAAATAGAAACTCTTGAAAATAAATTAATTAATCTTGAAATCATTGATTGGAATTGTGCAAAAACCTTATAATGTATTCATTTTTTATATACCTTAATGTCAGGAGAACCTGTCCAGGCTAACAGCGATGCTTTCTGTGCTGTAGATCTCTGTCAGTTGCTATAACCTTTGTCAATACGCCTATTGTGTGTGCTCCCTTAAATAAGCCAACTAATTATTGGGCATCCTCTATGCCGTCCGATGGGTCAGCTTGTCGACACCCTGCTCGAAGAGTCACGATTTAAAGCTGTGTAGACAAACGCGGAGCCAAGGAAAGGGCCAGAATGGACTTCGGAGACCCGATAATGAGCCACAAGAAAATACTTCAAATGCACGTAAACTATTGATTTAGATTCAACCTTACTGACAAGACTAAGTGACTAATTGGCTTATTTAACCAATGGATACTTTAAAGGATGTACAGTGCTTTCCTTTTTTTTCCACCTCAAGAGAAAATAATGATCTTTTTCTTTTTCGATTCTATTTAAGTTACGCCTGATGCACTTCTCCTCGTTGGTCATTGTTTAATAGCACTGAGATACTGCACAGACTGGAAGCGTTTGGAGAGTGGCACATTTGTGGACGCTCTGCTCTGAAACAATGCCTGTTAGGTTAACGTTAACGCTTAAAGTTTTAATTTAGCATCTATAATGAGTGGACCGTTTAGGAATTACCACCCTTTTTATAGTCAATTTTAGGTGACCAAAGGTAGCTGTGCAGATTAACATGAAATGTAAATGAAGTCAATGTTTATATCTGAACCCTCCATTACAGTCCATTACTATCAGCAGTTTATGACCCACATAAACCCACAGACCTGGAGAGGCTCTGCCAGGACTGCACTGCCGCCAGATTTACTTCTTGCTTGTTTTGGGGGCTTTTTGCCGTCAGTCTGGTCTTTGATGCTGCAGTACTGCAAGTTGGACTGAGATGAAGTTGGCCATTAAACCCCCTTGGTTGTCTGAATGTTAAGGCTCATTATCCTGCAGCATCTCCGATATGAAATGGTAAATGGACTTGTACTTGTACAGTGCCTTTCTAGTCTTGCGGCCACTCAAAGCGCTTTTACATTACATATCATTCACCCATTCACATCCATTCACACACTGATGGCACAGCCTTCGGGAACAATTTGTGGTATGCCCAAGGACACGTCGACATGGACTAGAGGAGCTGGGGATCGAACCGCCGATCTTATGATTGAATGTATGTATGTGTGTATGCGTATGTGTAAAGTACTGTTCTCAGGGGGTGAAAAAAGTTGTGCAAAGCCTTTTTGTGGCTCTGCAAAATCTGATAAATTGCTTAAAGTGATGTCAGTTTAGGGGAGTGAGTTTACCAGACCTGTAGCTTGAGTTGCATTGTGGGTACTGTAGGCACCAGGTTTTGACAAGCAAGAAGAATGCATGGAATAAAAAAAGGCGATATCTCTGGTTCTGCTGATATTGATCACTCTCAGTATTCTCTGTGTCTGTCCGGAATAAGGTTTATGTTTAAGACTGTTGTGGAGGATCATATCTAACTGGGCCTCAGCAGACAAAGGCACACACTGTATGCCGTGTCCAGTCTATGACCTTCATTGTATGTTAGTGCTGTTTTCTTTTAACTTTCTACTCACACTTTTTCAATTGTATGCATATTGTATTCCGCAAAAATAAGGCTAGAAACAGATCTTAAAAATTGCAACTTGAGATGCAGTATTTTGTATTCGTCATTCCTGATGATAATATGTACAATTAGTCTCCCTGTCACACACACACACACACACGCTTGAAAGCACAGCTATTGTTTCAGCGCCCATTTGGCATCGCAGCTAGCTTTCCTCTCCAGAGAGAGAACATGTTTGTGGTGCAGGTCTTAATAAGCCAGGACAGGTTATTTGGAAACAGCTCCAACATTTCCTTTAAGCCAGACCGGCAGAATACACACACACACACACACACACACACACACACACACACACACACACAAAAGAAAACAGAGATTAAAACGTCTCCATATACTCCTCACTATATATTTTGAAATATTCCTTCTTGCCTTCAGTGGGCATCCTTTGTGTTTCTTTTATAACAATTTGAGTCATTTCCTCCAGAAGGAGAAGCTCACAAAGCCAGCCTTGTTGTTGAGTTTCTGAGACTCTCTCTTTCCGTGGACCTTTTGTTCCAAGGTTGAATGTTAGGTCTTGCGTGGAAGACCGCTGGCTTGATTGAACCCATAAATCTGCTTGACAGAAAGGCCCGAGGTTTGACTGACCCTGTGGTTGGACCTGTAGGTTTAATATCTATACGAATAACTATTTGTACCATTGTGTAACTCCTATAACTTCAAAATGAAAAGAAATGTTTTTTGTTTACAACTATTATTTGGTACATGACTCTTTCTCCCTCTGTGTAAAGGATGTAACTATATCTAGTGGTGCAGCAGCACAGTGATATTTTTTACCAGTTACAGTTTTTAGGTTGTTTGTTTCACGATTTTGGTCTCGTCAATTATCAGAATATCTAATAACCTCATCAATAGATATAAATACTAATGTGGTGATCTTTACGCCGTGGAAGAAGGAAGACTAGATTTTGGTGGAGAGCTGAATCCAGGCATGGCTCCAAAAATCTTCAGATGGATTTTATACATCACTCTGAAATAGGGCCTTTTTTTAACATGTTCCCTGTTTCCTCATAAACTCCTGCACTTTCTTGAACAGAAAAGAAAAAATCTATAAAAACTTCTAATTTCCTACCAGCATGTATTTTTCTACAGAAAAATCCAGATGATTTTCCAGAGGATTGTACAGCCTTGGTAGCTCTGCTTTACAATAATGGAGACAGGGAACACTAACGCTATCTGTCTATCTGTGTGTGAGAGGATGACAACCTATTTGGGTGTTTTTTCTAAATGAATTAAACCCACTGTCCTGATATGCGCCGTCGCTAACGAGCCTACCCATTTCTCCTACATGTTCGTCTGTCCCTGTTCGTCCAGGTTCGTGCCAGCGCCATCGCCCAAGACGCTGACCAGAACTACGACTACGCCTCCAACAGCGTCATCCTCCATCTGGACGCCGGCGACGAGATATACATCAAACTGGACGGAGGCAAAGCCCACGGAGGAAACAACAACAAGTACAGCACCTTCTCCGGCTTCATCCTCTACGCCGACTGAGAGCAGACAGACACAGAGACAGTCAGTGGGGAAGAGATTGAGCGAAAGGAGTTGTGGGGGTGGGGTGGGGGTTTGAGGGGGGGTGAACGTGTGTTAAAAGCTGGAATGCGTTCTAGTTTTCCTAATTCTCTCCATCATCATGGACACTTCTGCTTCGTAAATTCATCAGCCGAGACATCCAGGCTCTGTAGCCGAGTTCTGGATGCAAAGCTCCCGAAGGACACACTGCGTGGGGGGCCGGGGCGGGAGTGGGCCGCTTTCTTCCCCCCCCCCCCCCGACACTCCTCGCCACGATGCCGACGCGTCGGCAAGCTCCTCGCTTTCGGTCTCTCTCCTCTTCAGACCTGCTCCATTGCACCGAAATATCAACATACAAAAATGAAAACCCCGCAAAAGTGGACGACCTCACCTCTTCTCTCCACAGTGGCAACGGTCGGCCGCGCTGCCGGTGGACTCGATTGACTCAAACTCGTGGTGTTGTTCCGTGCAATTTTCCTTAGAGTGTTTATATTTTGTAGACATGCATAATAATCTACAAACAAAAAAAGAAAAAAATGAATATATTTGTCCCGTGTGAAGATATCCTGTTTGACTGAGAGAGCGGGGTTTGTGAGATGTTATTTGTGATGCAGCTCAGACATCTAACAGCTGGAAAAGAAATTATTTAAGGCTGTCAGTGTTTCGTGGCAGTGGGTGAGTTTCTTCATCACTGGGATGCAGCAAGGTACCTATATAATGTTTATGTGGAGAATAACAGCACATTCTGCACTGTACCTTCCAATGTACCGCTAAAGGGAAACATCTCATATTGACAATATCTTTACTACTAACCACCTCAACACTGTTCGCTCGCTCGCACACACACACACACACACACAATGATGTCCCGCTGATGTTCAGATTAAAAATAAATCAAATCGTCTCCTCAATGTTCTAGTTTTATGTAGGCGCTCTACCGGCCACGTGCTGAAGCCAGGTCTTCGGATGCAGAGGTAACCTAGTCGAAGAGGTCTTTCTTCTTCTCTGCTGTGTTGACCTCCGAGCCTTCTCGTGCTCAACAACAAAAAAAGTGGCTCCTTAAGTGGAGGCCCAGGGGGGAGAAAGTCACAGAGGAGAGAGAGAGACTGAGAAGTGAGTGAGGCAGTGGGGAGGAGGTGGAGGGGGCGTTCAAGCACGGTAACAGTGAGCGGCCAATTTTTCAGCTTCAGTGTCTCTGAGCTTCACTGGATGTCATCCATTCATTAGCTGCATACTCACTGACACACAGGCATTATGGTAATATTTACTCAACATGGCAGCCTGACAGCTTGCTTGAGAATGAAACTGATTGGGTGAGTGACTTGGTCAATCACCACTGCACGTTTGTGTGTGTGTGCGTGTGTGTGTGTGTGTGTGTGTGTGCACATGTGGGTATGCGTGCGTATGTGCATACCAGCGAGCGTCTGCATTCTAGCATGTGCCGTGCCATCGTTCCTTTTGCAGAGTTATTCCGCGCTGCAGCCAATGACAGATATTTTCCTCAGCAGCCAATGAGATTGTGCTCTGCAGGGTTGGGAGCCGCTATAGATATGACGAGAAGAACAAACAGCTTGTAAATGAAATCTATGACATGTTTGTCTATCTTATCTTTTGGAATTGTTGAATACATTTAAATAATAAATGGCATTTTTTTGAGTGGCTTGTCTCACGAGAATTCTTGTATCCCAACTACGCTAATTAAGGGAAGATGATCTGTAAAGGGTCTCATTTGCTGTGTGAGAATAACAAACTACAGTGCAAACAACATGTCTGGCAATGTGTTTCTTGTTCTGTTTAAATTAAGAATTTTGTGCAAATATTAAAAAAAGAAGAAGATTTATCTGCAAGTCCCTCATCTCTCTTTTCTCTCCAAAAACGAAAGTATATTTAAGGAGATGGGTGTGTAGGGAGAGATGTCTGTGTTTATGCTCCTAAAGGGATCCTGTGGAGCTTCTCTCCATCTGGAAAGGTGCGCTTGGAGATAAAGACCCTCCAACTTTAGCAACATCCTACGGTGGAGTAAAATGCCGTTCCTGAATGCTGATGAGTCCCTTAAGGAAATGCAGGCTATTCCTCAATCGTCTTTTCACAGATTCTCATCAACAGAGGCACGATATATACCCAGCGAGGAAGTGTGGACAGAGGAGAAAAGACAAGCGGGGAGGAAAGATTGAGCGAGATAGAAGAGAAGCGGAATATGGTTTGACAAAGACAGATGGAGACAGGAGAGAAAGAGTAGGCCACAGAGAGAAGTAATGGGGAAGGGATGGATAGATAGATAGGGAGGGAGAGGGTAAAGAGAAAAATAAGGAAGACAGACAGAAGGAGAGGGGGGGCTGTTTGCCGATTCGGAGAGGAGAGGGAGGGAGGGGGACTGGATTGTTTTCAGGGTAGAGTGATTCCCTGTCGGGGCTGTGCGAGGTGTCAGGAGAGATTAGCCGGCGTGAAGTTGGAGGAGAAAGCGAGAGCTAGCTTGGATTGGACAAGTGTCAAGGACTGGACAGTCCTCAGATCTGGCAGGGATGGGATGTGACACTGGCTGCTATGCTGGTCCGCACTACTTTGCCATTAAGGGAGCAAGTCACCCGTCTCTGAATCATTTCATCCGCTTCCCTCTAGCACATAACAAGCTAATGCACACTGGTGGGAATGAGAACGTCTTGTTTGATGGCACTAAATCGTTTCCACAGTCCTTTTGAAGACGTTATTACCAAAAAACCAGGAGCCATCGCTGAAAAACAAGCATCCACCAGCTGGGTTTTAGTGTTTGACATCAGGTCAGATTCTGTTTCGAAATGTTCCGCTTTACACAAACGTGGGAAGTGGCTGCTCTTCAACACAAATGGACTTGAAGCTGTCAGAGCTTCTTACAAACGCAGATGGTGAAAGAAGTAAAGGGGCAAAAGGAAAATTGATTTCCTGTTCATCATCCGCTTTGGAAAAAGGGGGCAACACGGCTGATGGAAAAAAGTGGGTCTCGCATTGTCGCAGCTCGGCTCTTAGAATAAACAATAATAGAGTGCCGAAAATAACCAGAAACCATAACTCTGGAGTGTGTGCAGAGAGGAGATGTCTATCGGCCTGAATGCTGTTCCAGTCAGAGTTGGCGTTACTTTGTTCATGCAGTACAACCCTCCCTTTGCCACCACTGCGTTGTAAAACAAACCCACGACGGACGCAATGAGGAAAAGACAAACACATGCAACCAGAATCGATAATGATCCGGATGACCTACCAGACAGCCAGCGGTTTGTAGACATTGAAATGTGGCCAGAAACAAACTTTCCTCACACTAAAAAGCCACACAGAGGAGTTGAAAGGCATTGGAGACAAAGGCTGGAGACGAATGTTTCACTCATAACAGACAAGTTCCTGTGAACGAAGGACAGAATTGTCTCACTAAGATGGGCTGATCGATTTGCTTCTCTTGTCAATAACCTTCTGCAGTTTATAGCCCCTTTCCCATTGCACAAAAAAGCCCACTAAAAGCCACTAACATCTGGCATTTGTCTACAGCGGGAAAAGTTACAATCGGCATTTATTCACGAGACAAATGACTCTGCAGCAGTCACAGGTATTTATCTACGAACGGCAGGGATGGAAACAAAGACAGCCGGGTGGAAAAGCTAATATTTGCCCCTTTTATGGTGTGTTGAAGTGAAAGTATAATACATAAAATTAACAGGGATTGGGAAACATATTATGATCTATTAAAGTTAGAAACATACAATCAATGTATTCTCCTCAAAGCCTCCAAGTTCCAGTCAGAAAACATAAAGAAAACGACTTCTCGATATGTCACCTGTATATCCTGATGAGAGAAAACTGGGCCCTTTTTATCATAATGCAAAATGACAATTTAGTGTCCAAAATCTTCTCTGTAATTATTCTAACGCACTGTGTGCCTTGTCATGTTTGTATAGTCGAATCAAGTAACGTGTGAGATAAAATCCTCTGAATCCTGATCTCTCGTTTGTTACGCTGATTAAATCAAGGTGTTACTTTATGTGATCTTGATTGTTGTATATAATTTCATTAAGCATCTTCAACAGCAAGGTTTCAACCTTCTCTTAAAGATGCCCGCGTTGGCAGAAAATGTTGGCAGCCAGCTAAGACTCTCAAAAGGCTCCCATCTACAGCGATGACTTTATAATTCGGACAATGCATGCACTCAAGCACTATTCTTTTCTTTCTATGTTCAAGTCTGACCTTTTTCCCCTCTCACTGTCTTTATTCCACCTACTTTCTCCTCTCGTCACCGTGCCCTGCCGTTAACCTGGTATGACAAACACAAAGGTTAGAGAAGCGGACAGCTGTTAGCGGACCGGCCTGCTTCTGCCGCCCCAGAGCCTCTCCTATATGAGCAAACGAATAGACACAGGGGCCTCTGCATGATAGTGCAGTCACACATTAACACTGTCAACCTTGCTCTGTTCGCTCCTGCGATCGCGCATGATTCCCTTCGTCAGTTCGGGTTGCATTTGAGGGGGAAGCCTTTCCCAGTTGTCCCTGGATGGTCTGAAGCTGCCAGGCCAGGTGTACTCTGCAGTCACTCCCTGAAGCCGGGGGGACGGCGGCCGAGCTGAGCTCCCAGACTCCTATCTGCACCTCAGACCGCGTGACACCGTGACCCCCCCACACACACACACCCCGCCGCTCCACTGCCTCGCACACGGCAACAACATGGTTTCCTGGCCACAACAGAATCGAAAGTTAACTCACAGAACTTCCCAGGCACCTCTGACCTCCCACACTTTTTTCCCAGATTTTAACTCGCCACAACCGTCGTCTTGCCCTCTTAAACACCTCCCACTTTCATTCTTTGCAAACGTCTGATGGCGGCCTGCGCCGGCCCTTACACGCTGCAGGCAGAAACAGCCAGGATGCAATGCGGTAAATGTTTCTCACATTCTCCATCTCCTCCGCCCTCACAGCGTAAAGAAATGCAGCGGCATCCTCACACGTTGCAGTGCCGCATCTCCAGAGAACTCACTGTGAAGAGAGATAAAAAAAAGCACAAACAAACATCCAACATGCCTTTTTTTCCTCCCTTCAGCAGGTTGAGTGCATTAGTGACCTTTTAAAGCGCTGCCTCCCTAGCGCTTTGCCCACACCCCAAAGAAGAACAAACTACTAATAGGGCTAAAAAACTGACACACTTTAAAACAAAGATCCAACCATTTCTTGGCTGTGAGGCTGTGCTTGCTCCATTAATGGTATTCAATTATAAAGCAGAGACAAACAAAGATCTTTGTAGTCAAACAGCAGCCAAATGTGTAAACAATTGTGCGGAATGAGGACCACAAATATGTAAAAATACTGTTTTGCTTTTTTATATACAGTAGTAGGTGCTCCAGTCACTCATTGTTCTCTCATTTTGATAACTCTTAAGATCTGTTCCATCATTTCAAACAACAACCGTGACTTTGCCTGCTTCACTGCATTTCTTTTCTCATACAAATGGGAAATAAAAGGCTCGGAATCTGTAGAAACAACAGCGGCATAGACGTACAGTATGAAACAGATTAAATGTACTGTTTGGTTCAGGGAAAATACAGGCTTGTGGAGTGCACTCGAAACGGGCAACTTGCAGAAATGGAAGTATTTGTTTTCTTCATCTACACAGTGACCTTATTGGTTAGAATCGTGGGAGGCAGTAAGCTCACACCGTGTGACTCTAATTGCAGCGAATCTGTATGTGTGCACGTGAGCGTGCGCGCGGAGAGCGCGGTGGTGTTTTGCGTGAGCGGACATCAGACAGAGCTGCAGGACCCACGGCGCTGCGGCGAGGTGGATAGGGTCAGAATTGCAGAAGCCAGATGTCAAAGAGGAGATATTACCCTCCACATTACTCCCACTCAGCCGGGATAGGCTATTACATGCTGCGTTTCAGACATTAGCATGCAGATAAAATAAATATTGACAAGTAAGAGAAGTAGTCCCCCTTAGCTGGCAAATTAAGATACTGTGAACAACGCACAAAAACCTCTCCGGGACGTCTGAGGGAGACAACCATGAAATACGTAATCACGCCAAACTTGTGATAAAACACCAAAAAGCCAACAGATTCTTGCATAACTTTGAGCAGTCTGCTCGTACTGAGTAATAACTACCCAAATTTAGCTGGGCGCGCTCTCTCCTGCTGCTTCTCGCGGTCTGACGGATGTGTGGCTTGCTAGTCATGCCGCCTTGTGTCACCTGTGCTGCGCTCGCTCCGGGCAGGGAGAGAGCCATGGGAGGTCTGGAGGAGGCCAGAGAGAGGGAGAAACAGACATCTGTGATTAACACACACGGACACGTGTCAGTGTGGAGCATTCACTGCGAGGCGCGCTGGGAGACGCTCACACACAACCTGCTCCCCACAGCAGAAGTTTGCCTAAATAAAGACACGGATAAAGTGGAGGGGCGAAATGTGGGGAGGCCGCGGTGAGCGCGCGTGGAAAAACGTGAGCACCTTGCACAACATGAGTGGAAGTAAATGAATAGATTAGGTGAAAGTGACATGTCAGGCTCAAGTGAAAGGCAATGCAGCTGTCTGCACAGGTGCATGTGCACGAGCATCGTCATCGCTCGCACAGAGAGCCACATGCATCACACGCCTCCCCTTTGTTGTGTGCTATGAACGATGAAGTCTCTGTAGTGTCTTCTCTGGAGACGTG